CTTGTTTCGCCAATTGTTCTTTCAATTGATCATTACTCCCTACCCCCAATAGGATGGGCGGTAGCATCTCCCCCGGCGAGATCTAAGATCTTGAAAGAAAGGTTCTAGGATCTAAGAGGAAATAAACTATCCGACCCTTTGGAAATGGCGCTCGATGAACAGCACATAGAAGATCTGATGAAGTAAGTTTTCATTTTTTCTAATTTATCTACTATTGTTGATCCCTTGTTACCTCACCTAGATAATACATTAAGATTATTGTATCGGGAGATGGCACAATGGCCGAAGCCAACCCTAGAGCAAACCTTGGGCCAGGCTAATCCTCCTTGGGCTTAGGCCTATATACTTTATACTTTATAATTTATAATAATATTATGAAGATACACATATTTGTTTTTTCGGGTCCCAGACCGGAGTTGAAGCCCGGGTAGTCATGGGCCTAGATTCATACTTTCCCGAGACCACTCGTATGATACGAGAAACAAAATAATTGATGAACAAGACAGAGCCCTCAATAGAGTACTACATTCTAAAGATTTTTTTTTGTTTTATTTTGTCCTAGATCTAGAGGGATTATACTGAAGGGCTCAGTAGTACATTCTAAAGATTAGGAATGCAGTTAAAGATGGCAAACTGATTAGGAAAACTGAGTCTGGCGAATCGATGGTATTTGCTACCTAATTAATGCCCAGCCTGGAATACACTGGATGCCATATACGACTGGATCTCTATGACAGCACGTTCAAAATACGTCTGGTTTTCCTGCCATAATTAAACCAATAATGAATTACCACAATCTATTTGATCTCGAGATGAACTGCCATCTGCACATTGTGGATTGCAAATTAAGCAATCCCGTTTTGTAGTGCCATAATCGGCAAGCTTTGACGCCACCGTATCTCTGCTCTTGTATGCATGTAAACAGAAGAGCGGCGGCAAGTGGTAACTTCTTTCCAGAAACATGAAGATACTTTGATACTCCATATCATTTAATCCCAAAGATACGCCAGCGAAACATTTGAATTTTCCAGGCGGAATTAGAAAGCGGCGCGGGTCAGACCGATATTTGCCTGTGTGAAGGAACGTGGTTACGAATGGACGGTGGAGAACGGCCGGCCACCCATATAAATACCCCTGTATCTTGGCCGGGTACAAGGTGCACCCCACCACCAAAGCCCCAAGCTGCAGGCAACAGAGCTAGCTAGCTAGATACATCCTCCACCACACCATAAGCTCTAACTAAGGTTCATAGCCACTCTCCTCCCTCTGTTTCTGCATTCTTCTTCTTCTTCTTCTTCTCTCGCCATGCATCTTCTACTAGTTTTCTCTCCATTCACGCAGACAAGGTTGATAGAGATTAATTTGCTAGAGGCGATATACATTTGAAACAAGCTAGTGCATCCTGATTGGTTTTGATCTATGCCGCAGGATTTTTGGTTGCTGTTGCAGCCATGTATATGCATCTGTGTTTGCCATTTCTTTTGTTGCCTTCTTTGCCTTTTTGTGCTCATCCTCATGAGGACAAAATAAGCATGGGAAAGAGTTAACTTTCTTATTTTCTTGATCTTATTTTTTGTCCTCGCATACAAATTTCTTTTCTCTGATCTTTCCATGACCGGTGAAGGAAGTGGTACACCAATTAAGAAGGTGGTACGTGCGTACCTCTTGCAACAGCAGTTACGTACTCTGATGATTGTATCTGTTCCTTTCTTAATTGGTTTCTTCTGCCTCTCTCTCTTTACCTTTTTTTTGCATCGACGATGTTGCACTATTTTTAATTTGGCTCCCTTGTCACAAGATCGAGATTGTTAGATGCGCTGCCTAAACACACAAATAATATATTTCTGATTCATAATTTGGATCTGTATGTATATTGTTGCACTGGTTGTTGTTGGCATGAAGCTATGCATATGGATCTATGTAGATACCATGCATGTTGCAGATTCCTTTTGTGTGTGGAGAAATTATCCATCCAAGTATGGGGTGGCACAGTCTCTGCCATTGTTGCTATCGATCCAAATTAAGCACAACATTTCTTTCTGGGTTTTTTCGTGTTCTTTTTGTCCTCATCTATGTAATCTAGGGGAAAAAAAATCTCCATCTCTTCGCCTGATAAAGCATATAATAATCTACTAGTAGAGACTAATTAAAAAAGTGTGCATACCTCTGATCTCAGCTTATTCTGCATGCATGCTTGATTTTGCAGAACAGTTCTGTTACTGTATATATATCAGCAGCTGAGATCTACGAAACGTGTGCTTATCTTCCTATTAGCTAGTAGATGTGGATCAGAAATAACTAATCTCTTCATAAATTCTGTTTGTTTTTTGCAGTTGTTTTAGCTAGCTGATCATGGCGTCCTCCCTCAGGGCATTGCTTGTTGAGGATACGGCAGTTCAACGCATGGTTGTCTCCGCCATGCTGCGCAATCAGTTTCACTGCGAGATGACTCTGGCGAAGAATGGGAAAGAAGCTGTTGACATGTTCCTCGAGGGCAACACGTTTGATATAGTTTTTTGTGATAGGGACATGCCCATAATGACCGGCCCGGAGGTACATACGCACTTTAGCTAATTTCCCATTTCTTTCTCTTCCTTTTTTTGCTTGAACATAGCACATATATATTGCATGGTCACCTCATCGACTCAATATTTCTTGTACATGTTAATTACTTGACAGGCAGTTGTGAAGATCCGTGCTATGGGAGCCACTGATGTGAAGATCGTGGGGCTGTCTGATGATGATAATGCCATGGAGGCGTTCATCAGCGCCGGCGCCGATGATTTCGTGCCCAAACCAGTGAGGCCTGAGACTCTGGGGCCTATGATTCAGGAGGTCATCAATAAGAAGCTAGAACAGTTAGCGACGCTTGCTTGAACCAGCCATGGAGGAATACATGCATAAAGCTAGCTCATATGCATAGCTTTTGGCATGCACTATATTACTGTCGTGTTGTCATTTTACTTTCAAGATCATGTTAAAGGTCGGGCGTGATTAGCAAGAAGAAGAAGAAGAAGTACCGACATAATTAGACCATTTGGATGATATACTATCGAAATTGTCATTTGGATCGGATGATAGTAATTGACACCGTGCCAATGGTTGTATTATTACATACATGCATACATTTGGTGCACAGTACGTACGTACGTACGTACCTGCTGGATTGGCTCGATGCGTAATTATATATCTTTTGTCGATCAACAAAGTTTCGGATCGAGCGAGTACAGTACGTAGCTACGATCGACTTGATATCGCTAGCTCGCAACTTTACGTAAGAAAGACACGCCAGCGATGGATCAACCGATATCGTTTGTTTCTATTCTCTCTATCACGTACACACAATGCACAAGGCCAGCCACCTACTCCCGTCCTATATACGCACCGCTACGTACTAGTACTACTGTCCTATACGTATATATGAGTACACACACAAGCCAACTAGCTAGCCAAGTCTTTCCTTATTTCCTCTTCGCATATAGGAGCATATTTCTATTTGAATCCGCCAAAGCCAAACTGACGATCCATCTTGTCACTTCCAAGGTACGTACTGAGAAAAACGCCATTGCTTCTTATCCTTCAAACCTCCTGTTCCTGTGAACTTGTAGAGATGAATCCTAGCAATCGTCTTCCTTGTAAGCCACGGCTTGGTTCCTATAAATTAAATAAACTCACGCAGCCCTACGGGGTTGTATGCTTCCTCGAAAACTTACATGATCATCATACCTCTCCCTCTCAATCGCATCTAGCCTTCTTACTAGAGAAAACCAATCTAGCCAGGAACCACCACAACTTCCTCCGCATCCACCCTCGCAACCAACATGAGCGCCTTGATTACTAGTCCTCCACTTCCACCTTTGCGCCAGCATCCAGTTCCACCGCCATCTCTCTCGGCCCTCCACCTTCCGAGAAGATTACGAGGACAAAAAGTTACTCCTATGAAAGGCCATCGTGCTACCCCATATCAAGGGAGCATATAGATGGACCACTTCCTCGACGCCGCCTGCCACCATCATTATCATCAAGGATGGGAAGGAAGAGCAGGTCGTCAACTTCGCCTGTGCGACATCTGGTATGCCCACCAGCATAATGGGGTCTCTGTCCCGAGAGGCTCTTGCGCAGGTTGTTACTTTGTAGATGCAGTAGGTTGAGGTATAGAGTACGATTCATGCCACCTTCGCTACCCAAACTCAAGCTCAAGCACTGAACACGCGCATCGCTCTCGCCAATCTTCAGAAGGGAAACTTGAGTACGCCCGAGTACCTTGGCAAGATCAAAGCCCTAAGCAAAGAGACAAGCACCAGTGCCACCCTTTCCGACCAGGAGGTCACCTTCTATGTGTTCAAGGACCTAGACCTCGAGTACAACTCAGTGGTCTCGGCTCTCGCCGCCCATGTCGAGCTGGTGCCCACCACAACTCTACAACCAACTGTTGAGCTTCAAGGCCTGCATCAATCTTCTGCAAGGGACAAATGCCAGACAATCTTTAGTCACTGCATTGTCTCGCGGCTGCGGTGGCAGTCGAGGCTGTGGTCACCACGGTCACCAAGGGCATGGCCGCGACAACTGCGGTGGGCGTGGCCGCGCAAGAACACTAGCACATATGCTCCAACGACAACAACTTCAGCGCCTCCTCCTCCAACAGTAGGCGCTGGTTCCATCTTTGCAAGAATCCAGATCACGAGATCATGGATTGTTGGCACCGCTATGAAAAAAACTACGTCCCTGATGAGCACCACGTAGCTGCTGCACTCAGGGAGCAGGGACGAGAAGGAGACACCGTGTGGTACGTCGAATCCGGGGAGACCGACCACATCACAAGCGAGCTTGAGAAGCTTGCCATCCACGAGAAATATTTCGGCAACGACCAAGTCCACACCACCGCAAGCGGATGAAGTATGAACATTCATCACATTAGTCAAGCCACTATTAGTTCCCCTATTTCTAAATATGGCCTTCTATTAAAGATGTTCTCCATGTTCCACAAGCCAACAAAAATCTTGCATCCATGTCTCGTTTAACAGACTATAATAATGTTTTCTTTAAAACTCATCCCAATTATTTTCTCATAAAAGATCAGGCAAAGAGGGAGCTCCTCTATCACGGTAGATGCATTGGAGGACTTTACCCCATCACTTCAGGAGCATTTAGTAGAAACGTCGTCGTCAAGCCCTCCTTGGCAAGATGTCATCAAAGATTAGGACATCCTTTATCAATAATAGTTGATTAAATAGTGAATAAAGACAATTTTCCATTGTCAGGTAGTGAGAATAAAGAGTTTGTTTGTGACACTTGTCAATGTGGCAAGAGTCATCTGCTCTCCTATACTAGGTCCCAAAATGTGTTTCATGCTCCTTTATAACTTATTTTTAGTGGTGTATGGGGTCATGCACGAGATTCTTTTAAAAGAAAGAAATACTATGTTAGCTTTATCGATGTTTATAGTAAGTTTACTTACTCAAGTTCAAATCCAAAGTATTTTCTGTCTTTCAAGAATTCCAAAATTTTGTGGAGCCACACTTCGATTAGAAAACCATTACAGTGCAAAGTGACTAGGGTGGATAGTATGAGAAACTCAACTCTTTTCATAGTTTAGGCATTGAGCATCATGTGTCATGCATGCATGCATGCACACCAACCAAATGGTTCAACTGAATGGAAGCATCGTCACATTGTTGAAGTAGGACTTTCCATTCTTGCGCATGCATCAATACTTCTTCAATATTGGGACGAAGCTTTTATTACTGTCACTTATCTTATCAACTGCTTACCTAGCAAAGTGATTGACAATTCCACTCCTTAGGACGATTGTTTGATCAAAAGCCATATTACAACTCCCTCAAAAAAATTTGGGTGTGCCTGTTATCCTAATCTTCATCTATATAATTGTCAAAAAATTGAATTCCGTTCCACTCATTGTGTCTTTATCGGTTACAGTAATCTTCACAAAGCATACAAGTGTCTTGAAATCTCCACACAACATATTTATATTTCTTCGGGAGTTGTTTCTTATGAAACTATTCTTCCTTATGTGAAACTTCATCCCAATGTAGGAAACCTTCTCGGTGCAGAAATTTCACTCGTATCTGATCCTTTGTTGAATCTTGATCACGTGGTGAATTAAAAGGGACTAATCAAGTGACTAGTTCAAAGAATTGCGTTGAAAATAATGAAAACATTGCAAATTCTACTCATGATTTCATGTGTGCAGAAGATGACGAAACCAGCACCAGATCACAGGAGAATCCCGCCGATCGCACCAGACCTGGCAGCGCACGATCCGAGAAAGATCTGGCCGCCAGTCGCGCTACGACTATCGCACCAGCGCCAAGTGAGGTGGTCACAGTGATCGATGAGTCTGTGGCCGACCACATGGAGCCCACTGGTCTGGATGACCCATGCCTCTATGAGTCACCCCGCGTTATGCGCAAATGGGTCGAGCCTGTGTCTGACCAGGCGACCAACACGGGGCCCACTGATAGTTGCGGCTATCGCTCACCCGAGAAGGCGGGCCAGGAGACTACCACACGAGGCTCCCTGACTGGTGGCGATATCGTGAGGGACATCCACCTCGATCTGCTGCCCACATGGGATCAACAACTAGCTATGCTAGGATCTTCTATGACTGGTTTCTCTGTTGAAAATTCTACAACACCTAGATCTTCTGCACCATCAAATCCCGCTACTGCCTTTCATATGGTAGTGATGTACCAGTCATGGGTTTTAGTAGTTTATTAGATTGACAAGAGGAAATGTTCAGATGTTTGGCAATGTTGTGGAAGATTGCAAATAAGTTTTCAGCATTGCTTTGGTTGAAGATTCATTGATATATCCATGTATAAGTGAGTATTGCCCTAAAGCTTGTGTAACTACACATAAATCACCCTGGTTAACATGTTGACTATGTTGTATTTGTTAACAGGAGGCAAGGTGAATTGTTATTGGTTCTTAGGTGAGAAGGTTTGTAAATGATCGAAGTGTTGTGTGTTGGATGATTGTACCTTGGTTTTATTTCCTACTGGATATATGAATGGAAAGAAATTGATCTCTGCGCTTTAATCTGTTTGATAGTTCAATTTAAATTATTACAAGCATATGTTTTTTAATAGTATGTTTTATGTTTCTTACAAGAAGCATTGTGTGCTGCAAATATTTTGGATGGAATAATTATTATAAGAGTAGGCTATGTCACCAACCTTCTAATTGTATACTATATTGTCTGAAGTTTAGTGTTGTTTTAGTATCACTTATTCAATGTCAGATTACCATGCTTCTGGTGCTCATAGTACGTGGCACGTACAATTATTTCTGTAACCAGGTTTCGATTCATGCTTATGATCACATTCTGAAGTTGCACTCTACTTCAACTCATGTTTCTACCCTAATCTGACTAACTGGTTCATTTCATTTTTGTCTATGGGGTACGTCAAGGTGGTATGGCGGCAGTGCGGACGACATCAGCATGGCCAGATCGATGGTGAAAGCCCTAGGTGAAAATACTCTCTTTATTATGTCTCATTTTCTGTTGAATGAATAGTAACTTTATATGATGTTGGTTAGGACTTGTTTGGAGCTAGCAGTTGTTCTTTGATCATCACTTATGTATATGCATTGGGTGCCACTATTTGCGAATTTTGTTAGTTTTGGTCTGCAACTACAACATGCACAATAAGAACAATCAGATAAAGCCACATGGGATGACATAGCTTGGACAACTCACTATATTCATCATACTACATTGCATTTTCTTCGGATCTATTGGTTGTATCTTTAGATTTTTCACGTCTTTCCCAACAACAATCGTTGTAGGTTTCATTCTTTGGCAAAATGTGCCAATTACCGATGTGCTCTTTACTTTGTGTTTCAGAAACTGCTATCCATATCAAGCCTTTTGCTCAATCAAATTTGTATGCAAAAGCCGATGAGTCTGTCTGATATGCTTTATAGTTTATGTTACTGCACGACCTGGGTTATTGGTGCATTCATTATACTTTCTTCATGCTTAAGACACTGCTAAATCATGGATCACTCATATGGATGGTTAAGTTGAGCTATTGGTGCATTCATAATACTTTCTCCATGCTTAAGACACCACAAAATCGTGGATCAGTCATATGGATGGTTAAATTGAGCTTATTGTACCTTGTAGTAGATGATAGAACCAAAGTTGTGTTCCCTAGCTTTTCAAAGGATGTACTTCATATTTCTCTGCTTCATATTTGATGCCCAGTGTCATCCAACTTGTAGTAGATGATAAAATAGTGTGCTCCCTAGTTTTTTCTTCATAGTTCTTGCTAATTATGGTGGTATGTATCTTCATTTATATAGTATCTTCACTGCTTGGTAATATTTCATGGAATTCCTCGTTGGCAGTTTGCATAACAATGTACATTATGTTTTACAAGGTCATATGGTTTAAGCATTCAACCTCATTTCATGCTTTCACTATTTCTTTCCCTGTTTATATGTTCTTTTTACTGGCATGTCCCTTAGATAGCAGGCATATACACACAACACGTTACCTTCAGTCTACTAACTATCTTATATCCTATATCCTTAAGGCAAAGGACACCGTCAAGGTCACCCCAAAGACGATGTTGAATGCCATTCTTGCTAAAATGGGCTTGTCCGAGGCCAGGTTCAAGACCTATACGTGTGCCTTGTGGGTGCCACTATGTATTTCTGGCAATTCAGATCCAACAAGAGTTCGTGGCGATCCAGCTGCAAATATTGAGGAGCCTATGCAAAGTGCTGCAACTAAATATCTTGAGCATCTTGCGGGCACCATGGAGGTGGAGTTCGGTTGCCCACAAGTAAAGAAGATGAAAGTCGAGATGACATGACTCTCGCGGAATATTGATGATAGGGACAACAAAATCAAGTGCCTAAAGGCAAAACTAGAGAAGAAGGATGGGCAAGTCAGAGACCTAAGCAGGGGATGGGGTTCATTTGTTGATGACATACAATATTCTCGAGCTCGTATTGAGAAAATGGCTATCAACTATCTACCTTCAGGAGGTATCTTCTGTTGTGAGTGATGTAACCTGGGATTTCTATGGTGTCAGTCAGGAAGCCGAGAACCTCACCCAAATTTCTTTGATTGCAACTGATGCAATCTGGACCATAGGCATCTATCCATATGATGCAGAGTCTGAATGCTTTGAGTTTGATGTGTTCCGTGGTTTCTGCCCATCTGAGGATAACAAGGACAACTGCGGCGCAAGCCGCTTTGACGATGAAGACTTCCTCTTCGACGAGAATGACTGAAACTTCAGGCACAAGAAGAAATTGAGGCCCTTTTGGTTTAGCAGCAAGCTTTGCTTAAGTGTCGTGCTTAGCTTTGGTGCCTCTATTAAAGTGTTATTAATTAGTGCAGTATGCGCATGTCCAACTTTAGTGTAAATTATTTGAAATCAGTACTATGAACCAGTATTATTTGGCAAGACAAGCTCCGCCGAGCAGCTGAAGCTTTTGAAGATTGCGTGGGAGTTTCATGATTAGCTAAGACTTCTAGATGGCTGCTGTTTTTGGATGTAACATTGCCGTCGCGTTTGAACCTCTGCAGTGTTTCAGCTGACGGCCGTGGTCCGAACTCTTAAGTTTCTGTCTTTAGTTGTATCCCGTTCGAACCTGATGCCTGAGGGCTTTATTAATTTAAAGCCGGACGCTTCTAGCGTCTTCGTTCCAAAAAAAAACAAGACGCCCATGTGATGTGATGATTGACCGGTCAACTCCTGGGAAGTCCTTAGTTTGCCGGGCTCACAGGAAGTGATTTGGCTGGGTGGTGCATGGCAGCATCCAATTCTGGGGACGTACTGCATGCATGCTTGTTGCTTGGCAGCAAAAGGCAGGCTAATTTTGGTACCAAAAAGCATGCAAGTTTAAGACAAGTAAGTTTGATCCATTCCACTGCATACGGCCGGCCACGAGAGACAAAGCGCAGCAAGCAAGGCAACCAAAGCAAAGCAAGGAGATCATATCATCATTCATGGCGCCCGGCGGGGTTGTGCTCCTCGGCCTCCTTCTCCTGGCGCTGGTGGACGCGCTTGCCGCCGTCCACATCGACATCGCGGCGGCCCTGTTCCACTCGCACGACCACCTCGGGGGCAACAAGCACAAGGACAAGCAGTCTTCTTCCTCGCCTTCGTGGCCAGACGGCAATTACCTTCCGCCGGCGGGCAACAAGGAGAAGAAGGACAAGAAGGAGAAGCCTTCATGGCCGGACGGTAACGCCGCGGATTTCTTCGCGGAGGCTGCCAAGAAGGGGCTGCGGTCCTTCACCGGCGGGCGGGGCGGGTACAAGACGATGACGACGGAGTTCCTGGACGCGCATAACCAGGTGCGGGCCAAGTACGGCGTGCCGCCGCTGCGGTGGAGCAAGAAGCTGGCGCGGTACGCGCGGCGGTGGTCGGACGCGCGGCGGTTCGACTGCGTGATGATGCACTCGGTGGGTTCCCCCTACGGCGAGAACGTCTTCTGGGGCACCGGGTGGGACTGGAAGGCCGTGGAGGCCGTGGGCGACTGGGCCAGCGAGTCCTCCTTCTACGACTGGCGGGCGCAGGCCTGCCACCCGGGCCAGGTCTGCGAGCACTTCACCCAGATCGTCTGGCGGACCACAAAGTACGTCGGCTGCGGCCGGGCCGAGTGCCTCGCCGGCGGCGTCTTCATCACCTGCTCCTACGACCCGCCCGGGAACTGGAAGGGAGAGGTGCCGCTCACCTAATTCTTTCTTTTTGTTAATTCATTCAGTAGTAGCCCATTTGCCTCTTCATATTGGGCTGGGCTGGGCTGGGCTGGGCTGGGCTGGACTACACCTCAAGTTTTCATTTTCTTTTATTAGCGGACTAGCTTGTCTTCTTAATTTACTCGACTTTTTTTTACTTAATTTACTCGTCAAATATGAACTATGCTCGGTGCATCTTGAGCAACAAGACAAAAAGATAGACATTTCATGGTTCCAGCACGCACCAATAATTCAGCAACAGAGTTCATTCAGCACAGAGATCACCAATAATTCAGCAACAGAGTTCATTCAGCACAGAGATCACCAATAATTCAGCAACAGAGTTCATTCAGCACAGAGACCATATGTAGAGGCAGCCAATTCAACTCAGGGTAGACCAAGAATCAACAAAATGAACCAAGCATATATATTTATATCAGTAGGTAAAGTAAGTTATTCCATGAGCGACAAGATATATATATATATATATATTTCTATGAGGCAAGGGAACCAACCTTATTTCTTCTACTCCATAAGGGAGATTGATATGATTAGCTTTCTAACGCGAACAATATAATTAATTATAAGCTACTGATGGATCCGACTCACTCACTCACTCCCTATACACATCAGTAGTAGTCTTCCTCTTCTTCTCTCTGCTCTCTGTGGTGGATAAATATATAGATGGATGGTGGTGTATATATGCTACTGCTACTGGCTCTGGGGTCTATTAATCAGTGGCCGTTGTCGGTGGATCCGTAGCCGTAGGGGTTCTTGCTGGCCCAGTTCCACAGGTCTCTGCACATCTCCTCCACCCCATACTTGGCCCTGTTCATGTTCATCACATCATCATTGTTATTGTTATTGCCTTGTTATTGTTATTGTTACACCATCCATCACAACCAAACTCTCGAGAAAAGATCCAACTTAGTAGCAACCAAAACAACAAAGAGTAACTTACTTCCACTTGAGCTCCTTCTCTGCTTTGGCGGTGGCAGCGTACACAGTCTCGGCATCTCCAGCTCTTCTTCCAGCATAAACCAGAGGGATTTTCTGTAAAAGTTATCAGTATTGGTATCAGCAAAGCAAAGCAAAGCATATAAACATATGCATGTGAGATGATGATTCTACTACTTTCTGTAAAAAAGTTGGTTTACCTTTCCGCAAGCCTTCTCGAATGCGGCAACCATCTCCAGCACGGATGTCCCCTTTCCAGTGCCCAGATTGTACACTTCGCACCCTGCAAACCATTCATTCATCCGTTAACAACAACCCTTCTTCAGTTAAGTATAAGATCATTCATCATTGTCAGCTGTCATGTTCATGGTTGGCACGCACCTATTCTGTCAGAATCTTCGTAGAGCTTCCTCAAGGCGGCGATGTGGCCGTCAGCCAGGTCAACAACATGGATGTAGTCACGTACCTGCCATAATCATGTGTTGCATACCAATACTAGTTAGTTAGAGGCAGCAAGCGAGATTCTAGCTAGCTCTCAATTATGCACGAATGAATGAATGATTGATTGATTGATTCATCAGTTGGTTGGTTAGTTAGTTAGTTAAGGGTTGGATGTTGCACATACATACCCCTGTTCCATCCTTGCTGTTGTAGTCGGTCCCATAAACCGTCAGCGCAGGCCGCCTCCCGACAGCGACTTGCTGGACATAGGGCATCAGGTTGTTGGGGACTCCAAGGGGGTCTTCCCCGATGTAGCCGCTCGGGTGAGCGCCGACTGGGTTGAAGTACCTCAGCAGTATGATCTTCCAGTCAGGGTCCGAGCGCTGGAGGTCACGGCAGATGTCTTCAATGACAAGCTGCACACACACACACACACACACACACACACACACACACAATGTACTTAGTGAGCAGCTGTGCAAGAGAAATATCTGTCATTGACAGGCAACATAAAGCAAGTCATAGTGGCTCTGGGTGGTACCTTTGTTCTGCCGTAAGGGTTGGTCGCCGAGAGCGGGAACTCCTCGGTGCAGGGCACCTCCTTGGGCCACCCGTACACAGTGGCTGATGATGAGAAGACAAGCTGTGGAGTTGAAATGAAAGCAGTTTATTAACATCCAGACCAGATGATGATGATGACAACCATTCGATTCGGTGTACTTAATCATATGCTTATACACCAAGGTAGCAGCATAACTAATTGATGCTGCAGAACAGAGCATATATGGCCTGCAGTGCACTGTAGCGCCGTCCTTAAGCCTAACTTATTCAGACCCAACAGATAACCAACTGTAATGAAACTGTCTGCATCTGAACCCAATAATGAAGGAATGCCTAACTAGTATGCTGCCAAGGTATTTGCATCATTGGTTATTGCAGAACAAGTAGGAATGTGTAATGGGATGTTTGCTTGAGCCTACACACACCAGCATGCATGCTGTCTATTGTTGAGGCTTGATGAGAGAGTAAACAAAGACCAGCTGTCCCTCCCATTGCTGTACTCTAGTCGAGAATGCCAAGGCCATTGCTGTAGTATTGCCTAGTGCAGAACAAGCAATGGGCCTGAACCTAGGTCACACCGTCCATTATTCAGACAGACAGGCCAACTGTTACATACATACATACATACATACAGAGAGAGTGACCCAACAATACAATACAAATACAAAAAGGAAAAAAAAGAAAAAAGAAAAGGCGGGTATGTGGTACCTTCTTGCATCCATGTGCTGCCATGACTTGGAGGAGGGTGATGGTGCCGATGAGGTTGTTGTCGTAGTAAAGCAGGGGCTTCTCCACGCTCTCCCCGACGGCTTTCAGCCCGGCAAAGTGGATCACAGCCTCGAACCTGCTCGACCAGACCAGCCAGATGATGAGCGATGAGCATAATAAAACAAACACTCGTAGCTTGATTAAGCCTATTTTCTTATGCTAATATGGTGTTGATGATGACAAGTGTCCGTCCAATGCATGCATGGAGAAAATGAATTAAGGAACGAATATGGAAGAGCATAACCGGCAGGTCCAGCTGCAGATAGCTTGGCTTGCTTGCTAGAGACAACTTTCCAGCCAGCCCAGCTCGGGCGAGAGAGAGAGAGAGGCATGAATCGATGGATCAATCAGAGAGGCTTGTACTAGTAGCAGATGACACCTACCGACGACGACGATGCAGAAAGAAAAAGAGTCGTATTTGGTATAGCAGCAGATACGGCTGGCTGGCTGGCACGACGGCCGGACGGACGGACTAATCAACCTTTCATTTGTGGACTCAATAATATACTATAGTTAATTATTAATAATAAGCCGAAAAAAGATACTTCTTTTTTGCGGAAAAAAGTAGAAGATACCTTTGGGAGGAGAAGATTTGGTCGAGCGCCTCCTTGTCACGAAGGTCCACCTGCAGCAACGCACGCACGCACATATTATTGCATTATACGTATGCAGCAAAATAAAATAAATCATCAATAATTTGATAGAAGAAGAAAATTTGTAGTAATTATAGGAAACCAATTTGGCTGACACATGTACGTAATGAATCCGTCCTTGGTCAATCAAAACCTCCTTATTTAATACTCCCTCCGTCCGGAAATACTTGTCATCAAAATTGATGAAAATGAATGTATCTAGAACTAAAATACATCTAAATACATCCATTTCAATGACAAGTATTTCCGGATGGAGAAAGTAGATGAGGCAAATCTTATGCCTCCGTTTCGAAAAGAGCAACGGAGGAAGGAAGGATGGTCAATTGGAGTTGGGCTGTGTCCTGTGTGGATGGAGACACGCGTTTTTTCCCTCACATGGCGGAGGCGGAAAGGAAGGAAGGAAAATCAACGACTCGGCACGCGTCGCATGCACCAAGAAACAAAGAAAAAAAATAAGGAATCGACTTTTTTCTTTCTTTCTTTCTTTCCTTGTTTCTAGAGAGTTGTAGCTACTTGTGTCTATCTTCTTACTAGTAATTACAGTTACAAGAAGAAGAAGAAGAAGTTGCTTGCTTATGAGAAGGAATAGGATGGAGAGAGGGCAAGGGAACCAATTCACGGTTGACGGGACCGCCGGAGAAGGAGGATGGAATCGGAATCGGAACGGAAACTGAATGAAGCGACCGCCGGAGAAGGAATCGGAATCGGAACCGGAACGGAAACTGAATGAAGCAACAGAAAAAACAAACAGAGAGGGAACCTTGCGGAAGTCGAGGCTGTTTTGCGGGGCGTTGGCGAGTTGTCGGACGCGGCGGATGGCCTCCTCGGAGGCGTTGTCGAGGCTGTCGACGACGAGGACGCGGAAGCCCTGCAGGAGCAGCTGCAGCACGGTGTGGCTGCCGATGTACCCCGCGCCGCCGGTCACCAGGATCGTCCTCAACACCGCAGACACCATCTTCTTCTTCCTTGCTCTCTTGTTTCTTTTGGTTTTATATATATGGGGGGTGTTCTCCTTGCGATACAAGAGCAGTTGCAGGGAGGAGGCAAAGCGAGCGCAGGGTGGGATATATATGGAGGAGTCGACAGGGGAGGGGACGATTCCTGATTCCTCCACCGCCCACGTTCCTTGGCATATCCTCCTCCTTCCTCTCTGCTCTGCTCTGCTACAATATGGGCCGTACACGTGTACCATCCGCCATGGATCATCATAAAAATCACCCGCGTCATTCATTCCTTCAATCACCGTCCTCCACATCCATCTCTTGTGGATATACATCACCATCGACCGTGATTAAATTTTTTTCCCCATTATTTACTACTACTCCTCCTTTTTTTAGGGGATGGTACTATTTTTTTATTATTTTTTTTAGGAGCGGGGATGGTACTATTTATTACTACCTCAATCCCTTTCTTCCCATTGAAAGAGTCTCATCTCCTCTCTCTCATATACCTCCATCTCATAATAAATTCTGAACAACTCCCCTAGGGTTTCTAGGGTTCCACCTATCCTCCGGCGACTACGCACCGGAGTCCACGTAAAACCTCACCGGCGGATCGGCTTGCCCGGCCACGGGTGAGATCTACCTTCTACTGCCACGCGCGCGTGCGTGCATGGCGGATCCATCGCAACAGGTGTTAGGGGGCGAGGAGGGAGAGATGGCGACGACGGAAACTTTGGCGGCGGCAGGGAGGCCGAGTGGTTCGGGAACAGCAAAGGAAGCGGGTGCGGAGGAAGATAGACGTAGGGAAGGGTCTGGCTATAGATTGCAGGACGTCCGAAACCAAGCTGAAGTAGACGAAGAAGAGTTCGGGGATTACCTCGGACCCGATCCAGATCTGGAGGACCAGTTCGCGGGGATGACACTGCATGGAAGGGAGGAGGAAGAGCTGGACTTCTCGGAGGAAGTTGACGATCTGATCAAGGATGTTCGCTGGCTTGCCCTGTTCCGAGTCCACACTACGAAACCCTTTAGTCATGCCGCGCTATTGTCTCAGATGCGTAATGCATGGTCGGCGGCACAAGGGGTGACGTTCAACATCAAAGGGCCTAACTTGTTTCTGGTTCAGTGCCACTGCTTGGGGGATTGGAAAAGGATCATGGAGGGAGGTCCATGGCTGTTTAGAAGGGCACCGGTGGTGATCCAGGAGTATGATGGATTTTCGGATGTCAAAGGTTATAGCCTAAATAAAATTCCAGTTTGGGCAAGGGTGAAGGGGTTACCGGATGGTCTCACGAGGAGGAAAGAACTAGCGGAGAAGGTTGCAGCGAAGGTTGGTGATCCACCCTTCACCGTGATCATCAACGAGGGGAGGATCAACCCAGCAAGCACCCTCTGTGTGAGGGTTTATGTGGATGTCAATTTTCCGCTTGTCCGTTTTGTGCCAATAACACTGAAGGAGTATAGAAGATACAGTGTCTTCTATGAGAAGCTACCGGACTTTTGCTTTGCTTGTGGTAAGATGGGTCATGTTGCAGATGAGTGTGGAGATGGGATACACGATCCGAACTCCTTCGAGTGGGGAGAGTGGCTACTGTGGGAGCCGGAGGTACCGGTGGTTCAGGGTGGAGGGGGACGAGGTAGAGGAGAGGGAGGTGGTAGAGGGAGAGGTAGGGATACAGGAAGAGGAGACAGAGGAGGTAGAGGTGGTAGAGGTTCGATGGGAGGTAGGGGGAGAGCCGACCCTGGAGCAGGGGTGCCATCCTTTGGAGCGCAGCAGATGGAGGTGGAGGTCCAGGGAGATGGTATAGGAGAAAGAGTGGACAGGGGAGCGAGGAAGAGGTTGGTCGAGGTGGACGGCACCCTGAATGTGCGTGGGCAACAACTAAACCATCTGGCTGGCCGGGTTGCCGGGACTGTTATGATGATTGAAGGCGCTACTCCAGCGACAAGTTCAAAAGCTACGGTATCCCCTCCGAAAAAGGACCCCATTGTGAAGAGGAGGCGTCAGGACGGAGCAGAGGATGAAGCAGTTCAAACAAATGAGGCGGTCTCCCTCGAGGAGGACCACCGGACCAGATGAGAACTTTGTGCTGGAACTGTCGCGGGATTGGCGACCCAGCGACAGTACATGAGCTCCGCGAACTCGTGGGGGCCAGTGCGCCGTCGGTTCTTTGCATTGTTGAGACTCAGATTGCGAAGAATCGAGTGGAAGGTTTGGCGGCATCTTTAGGTTTTCAGAGTAGTTTCGCAGTAGCTAGTAGTGGGCGTAGTGGGGGTTTATGTATTTTTTGGAAGACAGAAGTGAAGTTGGTAATAAAAAATTTCTCTCAGAATCATATTGACTCTTGGGTCTCGGTACTAGGTGGGGAGCAGTGGCGCCTTACCTGCTTTTATGGTGAGGCTAATCGAAGTTTGAGGTACAAAACATGGGATACTATGAAAAGATTGAGAGGAGAAAGCACTCTTCCGTGGCTATGCATCGGGGATTTCAATGAAATCTTGCGTCAGGAGGAGCAGATGGGTCCCAACACACGTGACAGTGCACAAATTGAAGTGTTTAGAGAAGCAGTTGACGTCTGTGGCCTTGCCGACCTTGGATACAAAGGGCTAGACTGGACATGGGAGAAAAGGGTGACGGGAGGTAACTTCTGCAGGGTACGTCTTGACAGAGCTCTTGCTTCGCCTAGTTGGTCGAATATGTTCCCTTTTGCAAGTGTTGAGCATCTGACCGCGGTCAAGAGTGATCATAGCCCTATCCTTCTTAAAAATGAACTTGATGAAGGAAACATACGCCTTGGCTTGAAAAAGCCGTTCAGATATGAGTGTGCTTGGGAGCAAGATGATCGGTTCAGAGGTTTGGTGGAGACAACATGGAATGGTGATGGTCCAGCAACGTCAGTTTCTGACCTGGCAACAAAACTTCACAACATGTCAAGGGCTATGACTCATTGGAACAGATTCACTTTTGGATCAGTTCGACATGAGCTACGCTCTCTGAGACAAGAACTTGCCACACTTCAGGCGGACCCCTTGAGATCCGGCCCTACTGATGAGGAGAAGAGAATAGAGGACCGCATGGTAGAGCTTGCTTATAGGGAGGAAATTATGGCAAGATAGAGGTCACGCATCACCTGGCTGTCGGAGGGGGATAGCAACACCAAATTTTTTCAGAGAAAGGCGAGTGCAAGGAGGGCTAAAAACAGCATTACAAAGCTAGACCGGCAGGATGGAACCACCTGTACAGATCTGAACGAGTTGGCAAATATGGCAACTGCCTTTTATTCCAATCTATATACATCTGAAGGTACTGTTGGTATTGAGGAGGTTTTGTCACATATCCCAACAAGGGTGGATGGTAATATGAACGCAAGATTGAATGAGAATTACAGTAAGGAGGAAGTTAAGGATGCCCTCTTTCAGATGTTCCCCACTAAGGCCCCGGGGCCAGATGGTTTTCCCGCACACTTTTTTCAGAAACACTGAGATTTATGTGGTGACGAAGTCACAAGGATGATTATCAGAGTGCTTGATGGAGTAGATTCGCCGGAGGAGATTAACAATACGTTCATCGTTTTGATTCCCAAGATTGCAAGTCCAAAAGTTTTAGGACAATTTCGGCCAATAAGCCTTTGTAATGTGATCTATAAGATTGCTTCAAAGGTCTTAGCAAATAGGCTGAAAACTATCCTCCCCGAGATCATCTCTGAAGAGCAGTCCGCTTTTGTCCCTGGGCGTCTAATCACGGATAATTTCATTACAGCATATGAATGTTTACATTATATGAAAACAAAGAGGGTGAAGGGAAATAGGTTTTGTGCACTAAAACTGGACATGATGAAGGCCTACGACCGGTTGGAATGGTCATATTTGAAGGCGGTGATGCTCAGGATGGGGTTTAGTCACCGTTTCACTGATACAATCATGAGGTGTGTTACATCGGTTTCTTTTCCTGTTTTGTTTAACGGTGCAAGTTTGGATGGTTTCAGGCCCACCAGAGGGTTGCGACAAGGAGATCCTATTTCGCCCTATCTTTTTCTGATCGCAGCCGAAGGGCTCTCCTGTCTGTTAAAGGGTGAAGGAGGAGTGCGGGGCATAACAGTGGCACCTAATGCCCCCCCGGTGAACCACTTGCTATTTGCCGATGACAGTTTGCTCTTTTTTGAAGCAAATGAGTTAAGTGATGCACGTATAAATGAGCTCTTGAGGACCTACTGCAATGCTTCGGGCCAGCGGGTTAACATGGATAAATCGTCAGTTTTTTTCAGCAAGGGTGTATCTGCTTCTACCCGCGACACCATTAAAAACACCCTGGGTGTCCACACTGAATCTTTGTCAGAGAAGTATCTGGGCCTGCCATCGGATGTTGGCAGGGCAAAGGAGGGCTCTTTCAAGTTTTTGAAGGACCGAATTTGGAAGAAAGTGCAAGGTTGGATGGAGAAGTGCTTATCAGGCAGAGGGAAAGAGGTTCTTATAAAATCTGTAGCCCAATCCATCCCAACTTACTCAATGGCATGCTTTAAACTTCCGAGAGGGCTGTGTGACCATATTAATAAAATCATTCGGAAGTTTTGGTGGGGTTGCAAGAATGGTCAGAGGAAAACAGCATGGGTCTCGTGGAGAACTATGTCAAAACCAAAATTCATGGGTGGTTTGGGATTTCGAGACATGGAGCTTTTCAATCTAGCCCTGCTTGCGCGGCAAGTATGGAGGCTATTGCATGACCCTGATTCATTAAGCGCTCGTGTCCTCAAAGCGAAGTACTTCCCTGAAGGGGATCTGATGGAAGCCAACCTAGGTCTTGCGCCCTCCCAAGTCTGGCGCTCCCTCTTGGAGGGGCGAGATGTTCTTGCTCTGGGACTAATTAAGAGAACTGGGTCGGGCCAAGACACTAATATCTGGCACGATAATTGGATGCCGAGGGACTATAATCTGCGACCTCTTTGCGCTCGATCGACAAACCCTCCATCTTTTGTCTCAGAGCTTATTAATCCTCCTACGCGGACATGGAACAAGCAAGTTCTCGATGAGCACTTCATTGCTCCTGACGTCGAAGTGATCCTCAACATACCCCTCAGCACCCGGGTTCAGGACGATTTTTGGGCATGGCACTATGATAAACGGGGAATTTTCTCAGTCCGCTCGGCCTACAGAATGCTTTCTGCAATCAAGTTCCAACGGGAGGATTGGTTGGAGCATAGAACAGGTCATTCTAATCTTGCAGCAGAGAAAAAGTCTTGGTCTCTACTTTGGAAAGTGAAAGTACCATCAAAAGTGCGGGTGTTTGTCTGGAGACTGGCACATACATCGATCCCGACGGGCCAAGTTCGACATGATAGGCACA